AGCAACCTCCAACTCCTGGGCTCAAGCGAGTCTCCTGCCTCCACCTCCCAAGTAGCTGGGATTACAGGCACCCGCCACAATGCCTAGGTATTTTTTGGTTGCAGCCATCATTGTTGTTTGGCAGGCCCACACTGGATTTGAACCTGCCACCTTAGGTGTATGTGGCTGGAGCCTTAGCCACTTGAGCCATAGGCGCCAAGCCATTGACTTGCATTTGTTTTCCTGGTCGTGGGCTCCATCAACCCTTTAGTTCTCTCTCTGTGCCAAGCCAGTAAATGATCTTGTAATTAAATAGTGTGGTAAATTATTTCATTAAATAGACAATTTTGTTATTTAGTGTGGCAAAACATAGTTATTGGAAACATATTAAGGTTAATTTACCTTTCTAACCTTGCATTATGTTTCTTTATATCCACTGCTCATATGTATGATTCTTACTTGCAAGGCTATAAACTTCAGTTTTATCAGAATGTAACTTTGTCTGAACAAAACCTTATTTCTGCCAGGATATCCTTATGAATACAGAACCTGAAAAGGTCGTGTTCAAATGTGATACTGAAAATCATGATTGGGCCCACTTCCATGGCTTGCCCTCTCTCTTTGGGTGTAACCTGGTATAACCTTTGTAACAGAAGACTTGCTGTTGTTGGCATGGAATTTGAAGTAACAGTCATTTTAAGATAGAGCCATTAGTGACTGTCATAAAAAGCTGCCTGCCCAAGGGCTGCCTTGGAAAAACCAAGTCCTCTCACTAACCTGTCTTAATTGCTAGCTATTGAGACCCAAAACTCAGTTGTCAGGTATCTTTAGTAGAATGTCCTCGTTTGTAGTAATTCCAGCCCTATGCTTTTTTTCTGAATTACCTTGTTCTGCAGAACACATGGTGAGGTATATTATAGAACGAACCATTCAATACCTTGTATGGTTTTTTTCTCCCTAAGATTATAAAAAATGCTCTGGAAGCATCTGATAATTTTAGAATCCTGAACTATGGATATAAAATAAAAGATGATACCTTACCAGAATCCAAGGAAAACAATAATAATAATAGTAAAAGATGAACTTGTGGAGACAGTAAGTACGATGATGGTTACCAGAGGCTGGGGAGAGTAATGAGGAGAAAAGGATAAAGTGGGAATGGTTAACAGGTATAAAAATATAGTTAGATAGATAGACATATAATATTTGATAGCATACAAAATAACTATCACCTACAGTAAGTTAGGGTATACATTAAAATAAGTATAGTGGAATTGGAATGTTCCTAACGCAAAGAAATGTTAAAGCTGGAGGTGATAGAAACCTCCAATTTTGATTAATTTACTTTGTATCCTTGTCTCAAAACTTCACATATACCCTATAAAGATATACAACTATTATGTACCCATTATAATTAAAAACAAAAAATTTTAAATAAAGGTAAACTTAGCTGGCTTGGCGCCTATAGCTCAAGCAGCTAAGGCACTAGCCACATACATCGGAGCTGGTGGGTGCAAATCCAGCGTGGGCACGCCAAACAACAATGACAACTATAACCAAAAAATAGCCGGATGTTGTGGCAGGCGCCTGTAGTCCCAGCTACTTGGGAGGCTGAGGCAAGAGAATCACGTAAGCCCAAGAGTTGGAGGTTGCTGTGAGCTGTGATGCCATGGCACTCTACCCAAGGTGACAGCTTGAGACTCTGTCTCAAAAAAAAAAAAAGGTAAACTTAGCTTTTGCTGATGGACAGGGTAATCTACAATGGGATAGTTTATGTTTGCTTTTTCTTTTTGGAAAACAAAGAGGATTCTGCTTTCAGTGAGCACTTTAGAAGGTAAATTTCTGCATAGAGGGAAAAGCAAGCAGTTGATTATTCTTAATCTCCAGTAGGTCAGATCATGTCAGTGTTTCCAGAATACACCCAAAATGGTAAAAGTTGGCTTTACACTGAGCTTTTGCTAAGAGGCAGCCAGTCCTGAAAGGAATTTATTTATTTATTTTGGCCTTGGTAATGTCTAAACGATGATAAATACAAGTCTCTCTTAGCTTTCTGGAGTGACTCCCACATAAATTGGTTGTGACCCTTAGAAACTAGAAACTCCAATATAGTTGAATAAGAACATTGTGTGTGGGAAATCTAATGTAACAAGTGAAAATACAAAATTTTAAGTGTTCAGAAGTATATAATTTGCTGCTTTTGTTCAAAAGTGTTTTTAATACTTCTGGTGCAGAGCCTAACTGCCTCTTTCCTGGGGAGATGTGGTTTCAGTGTCTTGGGTGAATGTACATTTTATAAGTTTTTAAGAAAGGAAATTTAAACATTAAAAGACTTTAAGTACTTTTATTTTTATATGAAAAGCCAGGAAAATCAGAGTTTGTTTATTTATTTATTTAATAAATATAATCTATTTTGTACCATTTTGTTTGTTACGGTTGGTACCAAAGCACTTTGGCAGTTAACATTTATTTTGATTTTGTTTTATTTCAGCAGATGTGTATAATAAATTAACACTATCTCTATTCTTCTTAGTGGGCTGGGGCAATATTTAATATCTAGGTTTTGGGCATTTTGACAAACAACTAATTTAGTTTAATTCAACACAGTTTGATGCTTTCCACTCATATAATATTTAGCATGTGAATAATATTAAATAGGTAAAATGTGGCCTGCTGAGGCTAAAGGCTCAGTGTAAGCATTAATATAGGTATGTGACATGATTGACCGTGGCCAGATCAACTAATTACTCTGGGGCTGGGGTTCCTTTTGGGGTAAATGGTAGATCTGAATGTAATAGTCCCATGAGTTGATATGCTCCTAATTGATTCTTCCTCTTCTCTTTTTTTCTCTTTTTTATGTAGGAAAAGAGGATGCTGGTGTACTAGTTAAAAAAGATGAGGATACCTTTATGTCACAAGACACGAGAGCTTTACCAGAGAAATCCCTGCAAAGATCAGCAAAGGTCATTGCCTACAGATTTTCTTTACTTGTCTAAATGGCTGTCATCTGAACTATTTGTTGAAGGTCTCTCATGTGATTCAATCAGGATTGTAGTTGCTCAATTAATCAGAAAAGTCACTGGAAGCAGGGAATCATGAAAAGTGAATTTTTAAAAATAAAGTTTTAAAACATATAAATATGCATATATTTGCCTGCCTTTGGAAAAAGGCTCAAGGCTTTTTCTTTGAAGGTGAGTATGTTGATCAGAGTTTTGTCTCGTTTTTCCTTGTAATATGGTATTTATGACTAACAGTTTTGGTTGGTTGGTTGGTTGGTTATTGATTCATGGTTTGAGATGGAGTCTGGCTCTGTCACGGTGGGTAGAGTGCAGTAGCATTGTCATTGTTCACTGCCTCCTCAAACTCCTGCTTCATCCTTCCCAGGAGCTGGGACTACAGGTGCATACCATGTTACCTGTTAATTTTTCTTTTCCTTTCTTCCTTCCTCCCTCCCTCCCTTCTTTCTCTTTCCTTGAGACAGGGTCTCGCTGTTGTTTAGGCTGGTCTTGAACTCCTGAGCTCAAACAGTCCTCTTGCCTTGGCTTCCCAGAGTGTTTGATTACAGATGTGTAAGATTACAGATGTGAGCCTTGCACCTGGCCCAATTTTGGTTATTTAAAGTAGAGCAAGAATTTAGACACTGGAAAAGCAATGTGAATATAGACTCCCTCTGGATTTTTACAATTTTTGCTCCAATTTTCTTTATTGTTTTCATGCTCATACCTAATTCAAAAATACATTTTTAATAAGTCTTTTTGAGTTTTTTCAAAGTATTCAATTTAGTTGTAGAAACAATTGCTTTTATATTCCTGTTACAGTTTTTTTGCATAATTTTATTCTTTATATGGGCTAGTGGCATATTCAGATGTGGGACCAAACAGCTGACTCATGGTGGCAGAAGTGGTGCAAAGGCAAAGAAAAAAGTGGTGTGATAATATGAGGCTTTTTATGTACCAAGGGCATTTGTCAGTAAGTTGACCTAGAAATGCAGTGTGCTCACTCTGCCTAGCAAGGTGGTTATGAGTGTTTCTCTCCTGCACGTTGATAGGAGGAATTTTACAATTATACTCTCTCTCTTTCTGTATTACTCTCATTGCCCACCCAGTTGTCCAGATCTCTGTTCAGGAAGCATTTTTAGTACTAGCGGTGCATCAGGCAGCATGCTCAGTCTGGGAAATAAGAATGATTGGAAAGTCTGGGGGCTGGATCTGACTCACAGACAGGTTTTGTTTAACCTGTGTAGTATTTAAAAATTTTGACTTTATAGCTTATATTTTTAAAAAGGGGGGGGTTCCACATTAAATATTAGACTTCTGGTTTTTCTTGTCAAAACAAAATATCCAGCAACACTGAGCTGCATTCCTTAAATGGCTTTAGGCAGAGCTGAGTCGAGGCAACCCTCTGTTGATGGACCTTGTGTTCTGTAATTTGCTGTTGTCCTCCGATTGTACCCTTTCTCTCTCCTCTCTCTTTCCTTTCCTTCCTCTTCCCTTTTCCCTCTCCTCTTTCTCTTTTCTCTTTTCCCTTCACTTTTAGATAGTATTTCTTAATGAACTCAGCCTAACATTACAAGGCAAAATGGATTTGCATACTAAATTTATGCTGTGACAGTTATTACCATGATAACTAATATTATATGAATTATAAGTAATGCAATAATGTCAACCTTCTTTATACAATCCTGTGCTGTCAAAAATGAAAGATTTCTTTCCAGTTCATACAAAATGGCATAGACTTGTTTCTTCTTGCTCTTTCTCCTAAGTACAACTATAAACACTGGAAAAAATAAGAGGCAACCAAAGAAGAATTCTAAAAAGTGAAAAAAAGAAGGCAAACTAGGAACCTCAGGACTAGAAAAAAAACAAAGTGGCAGGGACAGTTGTCACCAACAGATGGTAACCCAGGCCCAGTGTCTCTGGATCCTAACCGAGCAATAGAAGATAGCCTGGGGAGATTGATTTCTTACTCAGGTCTAACAGAAGCCCCTCTAGCAACATCAGACAATCCAAGCAACACCCATAAGGGGAATTGAGTAGGAGCTCAGATGACAGTATGTGGCCAGGAAAAGAGGTCTCCTGCACCCCAGGCCTGAGACTTCTCTGTCCCCCTCTGAGACATACCATGTATCCATGGCTTTAATCATGAGGAGCCCACCAGAAGAAGTAGCCTGGACCAGGAAACCTCTTTGTCCTTATGGGCCTGAGACTTTTGTCTACTACCTGGCAGCACTGAATAGCTTGAAGTCACCAGTAGTAAGTATTCCAATATTGGGAACCCCTTTGTCCTCAAAGGCATGAGACCCCCTTCATTTACCCAGAGATTCTGGTGGCATTAACAAGGAAGATTCTGTAATAATGGGTGTGTGGACTAGGAAACCTCTTTATTTTTGTGGGCCAGAGACTTTCCTTTCTCATCCAAAGGCACTGGGAAACCATGTAGCACCAGTAAAGCGATCCTGCCACAACAAGAAACCCCAAATGGGAAGCCTCTTCGTCCCTGCACACTGGAGATTCCCATTCTATACTTAGATCAGGTGGCTTAGCCTGAGGAAATTCTTTCCACCCCACAGGCAGTACCAGTGGAGACCAGCGGGAGTCCCAGTGGCGTCATATGAAACAAACAGAGCAAAATAGCAGTGTAAAGACTCTGAAAATGAAATTGTCATTGGCACTTTAGCCCACAAAAGTAAGTTAGGACCTGTATGCTAAACCTAAATAGGGTGACTATCTTTGAAAATGAAAAGATTTAAATGAGGCACAGAGTCACTTAACATGATAGCCAAAGATCCAGGATACAAATGAAAACAACTTGTCATACCAAAAACTGGGAAAATTTGAATGAGGAAAGGTAATCAACTGATGGCAACATCGAGCTATTGCAGTTATCCAACAGTGATTCTAAAATAGCCAGCATAAAAGCTCTTCAATAAGCAATTAGAAATTCCCTCGAAACATTTGAGAAAACAAAATCTCAGCAAAGAAAGTTAAGTTTAAGAAAGAACTAAATGGAAATTATAAAGCTGAAAAATACAATAACAGAAACAAAATATTTACTGGGTGGGCTCAGTGGTAGAGTAGAGATGACATAGCATAGAATCAGTGAAGTTGAGGACAGATCCATAGAATTTATCAGTCCGAACAAAGAGAACATATACTGAAACAAATGAACAAAGCCTTAGAAAGTTGTGGGACAATAACAAAGATTCAACATTCGGATAACTGGAGCCCCAGAAGGAGAATATCAAGAGAGTGAGAGTAAAAGAAGAGATTAGACTGAGTGGGGACAGGTAAAAAATAGAGATTTTGAGTTCTAGCAAAAGTTGTATAACATTCATGTATAAAGATATCTGTACAATTGTAATTCCATCTTTTCTGATCAACTCTATAGCTTGTGGTTAAGGTTAGAGAATACAGTGGCTGGATTTTTCCAAGACTGAGGACTGTTAGGGTGGGTGTAGTAGAAGGAACAGAATGATGAGGCATTTGGCATCGTAGGTAAGAGAGCTTTAAGTGATGGAACATGGTGGCTCTGGGAGGGAGGAAAGAATCCAAGGCTTAGGTGTAGCTAATGGACTTAGCTACAAGCAGGGCACAGGAAGCCAAGATAGGGTGAAAAAGCCTGTGGAGTGCAGCACGGAAGAGCAAACGAGCTACATGATGGATTAGTCTGAGTGTGGGTGTTGGGATTGGCCTAGTCCAGGTGATGCTAAAGTGTGACCATGAGGACGAGTTGCTAAGATTGGATAGACCGAAGGCTACTAGTGTTGAAGAGATATGGGAACTGTGAGGACAAGACATTGGCTGAGTCACCTGGATGAGAGTGGGAGAGGCAGAGTATTCCAGGTTTCGTAGAGTGACCAGGAGGTGAGTGGATGACAGCAACAAGAAGGGGATTGCTGAACCAAGAGGGTGCAGCTACATTCATGAGACTAGATCAAAGGTCTGGACATGGCAGTGCAGCGTGGGAAAACATGACACCTCCTGAGAGGCTATGTGCAGGAGAAGGAGCAGCCTCTGCCCAAAGTGGCTGGGGTAGACAGTCCTTAGGACAAACAAGTGTACACATGGAGAGGGCCTGAGTATTCTAGGAAAAGGACACAGCAGACTGTTCATAACACAAAGATGTTTTCCAAGGAGGAAGGAAGGCTTAGGAAGAAGAAAGTAGAGCATATAGTGGGACTGAGCCTGGATGAGAAGACAGGTGCCCTAAGGTCCTGTCCTGTGGGGTAGTAGCTGGAAGTGACGGGAGGAGAGGTATGGTGCCCTCCACTGATTTGAAGGTTCTGTGAGGATGGGCGGAACTCTCTCTGTGGTTGTCAGAGACATGCGGGAGAGCAGCAGCCAGCTCAAAAGAAGCCTGAGTCTTTGCTCGGGGGTCTGGTAGAATGATGGCAAGTACTTCCAACAAAGGGATGAAACTGCAAACTGTCCACAGTGGGAAAGGAAACAGTTCAGGAAGAACACCTTCCCAGAGTGGGTGAAGGAGAAGATTCATTTTCTCGGAAAAGCCTTCTCTATTGGTGGAAGTAGCATGGACATATAGTAGAATGGTGGCCTGAATCTTCACCTGCTAAAATCAGAGATTGGGTCTAATCTTGGAGAGAAGGAAGGTTAAATATTTCTCCTTTCAGCTGTTGAAGGCATGATTGAGAACAGTAATTTATGCTTAATAACTTTTTTAGAAGATTAGCTATTGTCGTGTTCATGTGAGATATGGTATTGTTCATGTGAGGAAAATGTAATGTGGAACAAATGCATGGAGCTGTACTTCCTGCTGAAACCCCATGTGGCTTTGTAACCACTTTCATCTGATTCATCCAGGTATCCCAGTTGTTCTGGATATGTATGCTTACTAGATATTTGTTGCAACTTAAATATAGATTATCTAGACACAGAGTGTCACTGAGAGGCACTTCATTTTGCCCCAGAAAAACTGCTGGATCCAGCTAGTTGATCAAATAATATCCTGCTGACTTCTCCTACTGTTATCCCACTCTGTAGATAAACAATCTTGACTATATCTTTGGTGTTTTCAGGTGGTTTACATCTCGGAGAAAAAACATTCTCGAGCAGCAACTGGCTTCCTCAAACTCTTGGCTGATAAGAACAGTGAACTGTTTAGGAAATATGCCCTGTTTTCTCCCTCAGACCACCGAGTGCCTAGAGTTTATGTGCCTCTCAAGGACTGTCCCCAGGACTTTGTGACACGACCTAAAGATTATGCCAACACACTGTTCATCTGCCGCATCGTGGACTGGAAGGAGGACAGCAATTTTGCCCTGGGGTAGGTGATCGCTGGTAGGAAAAGCCACAGGTCACAGGCAGAACTCATTTTTAGTGGCCTTTTGGTAAACTTCTTGTGTTTTTCATTTAATTATTTCTTTATTAAAGCATGGTACATGATGTATTTTGGTTCTTATTTTTCAGAAATTGCCCTCAGCTGCCACCGTAATTGGTTACCTATAGATTCCATGAATTACCAGGCAATCACCTCTTGGTTTTCTTTTTTTTGGCACAAAATATTAGCACACCCTGAGCCTCTCCTTATTTTCTGTTATGTCATGAGTCCCATTTGTACTTGAGTACTGCAGAGAATTCATTGTACCAGTCTTTTCCTTTCAGGCAATACTATTAAAATATGCATAGTCCAGGCATATTCAGGGGACCCTAGGGTCCTTTGCTTTAAAATGTGAAGGCATGTTTGAATGATGTGCTTTTTTGGTATTGATCTCCAAAGGTTTAACATGTGGCATTAAAAACTAAATTATCTTCTGTAAGCAATAAAAGGGTACTATGTTTTTCTAGAAGTAGTCAGAAATCAATCTATAGATGAAATAATTCCAGAGCATCATGGATGCCCACTTCATTTTGATCGAAGAGACTGCTGGTGCTACATGCTTGATCAAATGCAATGTGTATTTTCTTCGTAAAACTGGTATTTATTTTAAAAGAATAATAGTACTAACTTATAGCTGTATCTTTAGGCCTCTATTATAGATGGTTTCTGGTTTATGCTTCACAGGAAATGAATATAAAGGTATATAATCTAAAAAAGAGCCTGCTCTGTCATTTACTTCTATTCTAGTTTAGTGATTTACTTGTTGCTCATCTAACATGTACAGGATGGACCCTCTGGTCTATAGTTATAAGAACCAACAGTGAATGAATGGCTGCAACATATTGCTGCTTTCATCAGTTTATTGTACACTTAGTTTCTTGCACCTACCAAAGTAAGCCTAATCAAGTCTGTGTGTCATGTGTATGAACTGATGCAAATTAAGAAACACTACCGTGTGCCACTTTTTCAGTTGTGTGAAGCTCAGTGTGACTTATATGTTCTCAGAATCATTTAGAAACAGTTGCATTTTCCTTTTTGCTCCAAAGTGGTACAATTATAGTATCATCATGTTAAAGCCTAACTCATTATCCAGAAGTGATGTCAACCCCTTGATCCTTAAATAGTCCTTCTCACAAGATTGCCAGTTTCTCACCAGCAAATCAAAAGGCCCAGTTATGTCCATGCCATCTGGCCTCTGTTGATTGTGCTGCCACATTCTGTTTGGCAGTGAAAAGGGAAGACTTTCACATCAACCAGGAAATCCAACCTCCTCTTTTATCTGCCTTTCTGTTGTATCCCATTGTGTGCACTTGATTGGACTGCTTCCTTAGTTTTCAAGTTGTAAGGGTGTAGTCAAGAAATCTTCATGGTATGAGTTTCTCTTATTCATTGAATGGGCTTACAGGTTTTTTTTGTTTGTTTTAGGGGATTTTTTTTTTAATAGCTTCACCATTACTTCATTCAGAATCTTTTTCTTGAGGGTGAAATACAACAGCAACCAAGAAGGGAGTTAGGTTTTTGAAGCATCAGGCATATTTTCTGGATCTAAAGAAAGAATATTTTAAAATGCTATATGTTAATCATATAATTTTCAAAATAAAAAATTGAAGACAATTATATTTAGATGGACAGCCATTCTAACTTTTTGTCTACCTTCTTTATACAAAGACATGAAAAATTTTTTATGGAAATATATTGCTTAAAATCTTATAAAAGAGAAAATTTATTTTAGGAAATAAAATGTGGCAAGTTTTCATGATGAAGCTCTCAGATGACATCTGTTGCATAGTCAGGGCTGCAGCTGTTGAACATGTTGGTGGTCGCTTTGGTGTTTTGTTCTGGCTATCTGTTACTGTTCTTTAGGAGCTGAGGTCACTATTTCCTAATCAGAGCATGCTGTGCTGGGACTGCTTAGGTTTCCTCCCTCATCTTTGCCAGGCTTTGCTCAGGATTGGGATGGTGGTACCTGCTGTGGGTGTGAGTATACGCAGTTAGCTTCCACAGAAACTATACCCAACAACTGGGTTTAGCTGAATTTCTTCTCTCCGCCTACACCTCTACCCTTAGAAGTATTGAACTTTCTCTGCCTTGTAATTGCTACTAATTATTCAAGTCCAAAGTTATTTCCCTCTTCTGTAGTTAAATTTAAGTTACGAAACTTAAAATTCAGTTTAAGTTTTGATTAATCATCTTCATTTTGTCAAAACACAATTCAGAATTTCTAGGTTAGAGAATCTTACTGGTCTTTCTTGAGACAGCCGTTTTCCCTGCTCAGTAGTTTAGCCAAAGGTAAGGGGTTCAGGGTCCCAATTAGCAGGACTGTGGGACTCAACTCTCTGGGAAGGAGCATGAATAAAGCAGATGACTTGAATGGCCTATCTCTTGGATCTCTAACTATGGTACAAAATAGAATGTTATAGGAATAAAATAATTTGGGGGAAGTTTAGAGGAAGCAGATGAAGGAAGAAGTCCAGAATCAATTCTTGGGGAACTGAAGCCTCTTTGCTAAAAGATCACTCTGGTTGAGTGCAGAGTGTATACAAAGGGACATATCTGGCAGCAAGAGGTCATAAAAGGGTATTGTGGTAAGTCAAATGAGGTAGGAGAACCTGAAATAAAGAATTTCAATGGAGGAAACAAAAGAAGTGAAAAGATTCAGGGAAGATTAAGAAGATAAGTTCTCCCAGATGTTATGACTGATTAGAAATGGGGCATGAAGGAAAAGGAGGGACTCTGGGATGAAATTTCAGGGCTCTGACTCAGGTGAGTAGATAGATGCTGATGGCATTTCCTCACAATTCAGACTGGGAGCAGCCTGAGTTCCTGCTATACCTGTCACTTAGCCTCACTCCTTGCCATTTCCCCACCTGTGTTTGGTCATAACTCCAAACCTTTGTGCATTATACTTCCTTTCTCAGCAGTGGCTTTCTCCACTCTCTAATGTTTGCTGGGTGAAATACTTAACTTTTAAACACAACGTAGTTGTCAACTTGAAAAATGTTCCCTGCTTATTTAAATATTTTACTTGGCCAAGAGCTTCTTTAGGACAAGGATACTCAGTGAACATTTGCTGGCTGAGATGAGTGGTGAAAATCAATTGATGACCCCAAGATCTTGAGTTAGGTTAATTAGGAAGAAGTTGCACCATGAATGAAGCTGGAACACACAGGAGTAGTGTGGAACAGAAAATGATGAGAACCAAAGTTTTAGGACTTAAAAATTAATGCTTGATAGTGCCATAAAAGTATATAAACTCAAGTGGAGAATGCTACAGGTACTTAATAAAAAGATTGAATAGAATACACACGTTAATAGAATATATAATGTCAGTAGCTTTGTAAGGGTCCTTAAGAAGGCCATTAATCTTGGCCTATCCTTTGCAGTAAACATTGCTTCTTTGGCCCCCTAGTGCTGCACTGGGGTCTTAGTTTAAGGGCAACTCAAAGAGTATTACAGAATTGGAGACCAACAGTTGCTAGAAAGTTATTTTCCATCCTGTTCTTGGAGTTGTCATGTGAGATCTCAGTTGAACCTTGTTCACCTTTCTATACATCACATATACCACATTTTATGAATCTTAGTTCTGTGATGCTGTTAAAAACCTATAGGTAGTCTATTCTTAGTGAGCCCTTGCTGGCTTTCAGGCATGACTGCTTTTTGTTTTATGTCACAACAAATACAATTTAATACTTTTAATATTTAGTACTAGACTCTTGTCCAGGATAATTAAAAAGCCACATTGGCTTCCTTGCTGGAACGATCTATAATTACATAATCAGATTTACAGTTTTAAGAACTTCCCAACCCTCTTAAATCATCTTTGACTTTAGAAAGTCTTGGGATGAAATTCATGCCTACATTTTCTCAGATCTTTGAGAAATCTGCTATCCTAAAGTCTAGAGTTTACAGTCTCAACTTTCCCTGCCAGGATGTCATGAGCATGGAGATATCATGATCTCTTTCTCCTAGATTTGTCATGGTTTCTTCTTAAATATTTTAGAATACATTTTGAAGAAAATGGAATATTTTATAGCAGTTACTGTGAGGAACATAGTAATGTTTCTTGGTAACACTGAAGGTTAGCTGAAGATAGATAACATGAATTGACCTAGAGTAAATTGACATTTATATTATTTTATCAAGCAACTTTGGTGGCTTTGTGGGATGGAAGAGGAGGAAAAATAAATAGGTCAGTGCAGATATAGCAAAGCTGAGAAATTTTTGGTTGAACATGGGATTGCCTCTGCTTAATGGAAAGTTGTGGAAATGAGAAACAGAGAATGGGTGACCCTAATGTTGCCTGTTGAGTGTTGCTGGTTTTAATGTGAGTGTGAAGGACAGCAGGTTCCATTGGAGTGATGACTGGGCACAGTGAAAGTAAAGGAAAGGGAATTGTATTGCTAAGGCATATGGTAGAGAAGGGAAGGAAAGTGGGTGGATAGAGGTCTATTCTAATAGCTCCTGGCTTGACACCTTATGATTACTGTTGGACAGTCAGAAATATTTGTTGACTGATGGAAGCAAATATTTTTACTATTCCATTCAATTTTGATAAATAATAAATTTCTTTATTGAGGAAGGGTCACTAAATTATTTTAAATACATTAAGTTTTATTAATGGGGAAGTGGAACAGTGACTAGCCTGGTTGAAAATACAAACAGGAAACATTAGTTTGTTTCATTGAGGCATAGTCTATAAGATTAAACAAACTGTAAAAGAACTGTGTCCAGTCTGTTCTTCTGCACTAAGGAGCATTTAACCTTTTTCTGAGCATATTCCATTTTTAAAGACTCTTCTGAGGGAGAGGCTGAGTTATATAATGTTATGAACTTACATTACCAAACTTAAGAGTCTGTAAGCCCTTTTCAAGGGGTATGACTCTAGCTGGCTAGTAGACAAAAAACAAATCAGGCTGAGGAGGGGGCTCTTTTTTGTGACCATTGGG